GAGTATCTCTACCAAGAGAGGGTGGGGATGTTCGAAGTAAAACAATTTAAGGTTTAGGGTTTAGGTGTTTCGGGCTCGGGGAAAAATTCGAGGCCCTTAAGTAAGGAATATCCGCTGTCCAGATCCTCGAAACGGTCTCGCTTCAAACGCAGCTTGCCGCCACTTTGGGTTTAGGGTTTAGGGTTTAGGGTTTAGGGTTTAGGCTTTAGGGTTTAGGGTTTACTGTAGGGTTTAGGGTTTAGGGTTTAGGGTTTAGGGTTACTTGTTCAGGATGCCATCATGAAGTATTTCGACGACAACCAGATGCATTCCAAGTATGAGGCCGGAGTTTAAGACGGGTTTAAGGTTTCACGATTTCAGAGTTGGGGTTTACATTTGCAGGGTGGAACTACCTTGCGAGCACTTTCGGTCCCACTTGGAGGTCGGTTTCTGAAGAGTGACATCGCCGCGCAGTAGATGACAGCTTTACTGGGTTGGGCCTTGGAATATGTTTTGTATATCCCTTCTTTCCTGGCAAAGCAATTTGCAAAGCCTAAACCCTAAACCCTAAACCCTATGCTAAACCCTAAGCCCTAAGCCCTAAACCCTAAACCCTAAACCCTAAACCCTAAACCCTAAACCCTAACCCCTAACCCCTAGCCCCTAGCCCCTAAACACAACTCAGTTTACCCTTCGTAGGGATTATAATAGTAGGGGCTAAACCCTAAACCCCAAACCCCAAACCCCAAACCCCAAACCCCAAACCCTAAACCCTAAACCCTAAACCCTTAGTCCCTATTAAGGACTGTTAGCATAAGGGGTCACATCCCACAGTGGCCTGCTTGTTTTCGATTCATGGACTTCGTGAGGGAAGGAGATGTCCTCACCTTGAGACTCACATGAAGACCGTGACCCTAAACCCTAAACCCTAAACCCTAAGCCCTAAGCCCTAAGCCCTAAACCCTAAACCCTAAACCCTGCACCCTAAACCCTAGACCCTGCAGGAGTCAGGCAAGGGTTCTTGGCGGCCTTGAACCCGAAAAACCACCCCAACAAACCAACCCCTAAACCCTGAACCCCCAAACCCTTAACCCTTAAGCCCATAAGCCCTTAAGCCCTGAAGCTCTTAAGCCCTTAAGCCCTTAAGCCCTTAAGCCCTTAAGCCCTGAAGCCCTGAAGCCCTGAAGCCCTTAAGCCCTTAAGCCCTTAAGCCCTCAAGCCCTTAAGCCCTTAAGCCCTAAGCCCTACACCCTAAACCGTGAACCGTGAACCGTGGACCTTGAACCCTCAAACATAAACCGCCCTCGACCCTAAAACCCCAAACCCCAAGCACAAACCCTGAAGCCTTCGCCCCATGCAGGACATCTATCAGCTGCAAGTGGACAAGGAGGGGGTTTGGGGTTTGGACATCAGGGCTTAGGGTTTAGGATTGTTCGGGACCCCAAAGTCCCGAAGCCTTAAACCGCCTAACCCTGAACCCTAAACCCTAAATCCTGAATCCTAAACCCTAAATCGTAAATAAACCCTAAACCCGCGGGAAGCGGCTGAGAGCAGGATAATATATCCGTTGGACATGGAATCTTCAATGGTGGTAAGCTATATTGCTTACATGGTGGAACCGTTGCTGACCAAGCTTGGATGGTCTGAGCTTGGAGAAGAGAGCCAAGCCATCACAGCTCGTAGATGTATTGCGCCAAAGTATTGGGTAATAAGTTTGCCACAAGTGATGATGGGACTGGATTTAATGAGTCCCGTTCTCATGAGGACATTGATGACACTTTGTTGTACAAGCCATTTTTTCGTTCTGAGGTATGCTCAGACTTACCGAGCGTCGTAGCTCGTTATATGGAGAGCTATCGAGGGAAAGAGGTAGTAGAGCTATTGTTGAGGGACCCCTAAGCTGCAAACTCGGCCCATGGCTTTGCCCCCTAACGGTGCACCGTAACCCTAAACCCTAGGGTTCAGAACCCTAGCCCTAAACCCTCAACGAGGTTTTTGTAACTTTAGAACCTTGGAAGACGTGCATGGGTCGTCTTGGAAATAGAAAAAGGTGGCTGCCAGAGAGCCCCACTAAACCCTAAACCCTAAACCCTAAGCCCTAAGCCCTAAGCCCTCAGCCCTAAGCCCTAAGCCCTAAGCCCTAAGCCCTAAGCCCTAAGCCCTAAGCCCTAAGCCCTAAGCCCTTTCAGGTGATGCAGCTCTACGAGACGATGCTCACGAGGCGCGCTGTCGGTTGGTCGTGGGGCTTTCTTCGTGCCGCTTGTCCGGTCCAGTGTTTCCCCGCGTTCATGCAGTCGTGAGGCATGCGAGCTAGGTAGGCCCTTGGAATAATTTTATATGTCTTCCCTTATTGGGTTTAAGGTATATTGTCCCTTCCTGGGTTGAAGAGGATCATGCTTAGGAATATGTTCTTTTGTTCAGAGGGTTTTAAGGGCCCCTCAAGAAGAGCTCCCTGAATCTTGGTTTAGGGTTTAGGGTTTAGGGTTTGGGGTTTAGGGTTTAGGGTTTAGGGTTTAGGGTTCAGACTTCAGAAACGGACGCCCGGGCATCCCCTCGGAGTAAGGGTTTAGGGTTTAAAAATATAGGGTTTAGGGTTTAGGGTTTTGGGTTTTGGGTTTAGGGTTTAGGGTTCATGTTCCAGGGTTCAGGGTTCAGGGTTTAGGGCAAGGGTCGCCATCAGCGGCACGTCTTGCATGTGCCTGAAAGGAGTATTCCGAAGGTACACCTTGAAAGTGCGTTATTGCATCTTGAAACTTACCGTGGGTGGTTGTGTTAACCTTGGAGGCTTACTACTCGGCAACACGAATGCTGTTTTAGTTTGCCGATCTGCCAGCAACCCCAAACCCCAAACCCTAAACCCTAAACCCTAAGCCCTAAGCCCTAAGCCCTAAACCCCAAACCCCAAACCCCAAACTAAAACTAAACCCTACACCCTACACCCTAAACCCTAAACCCCAAAACTAAAACTCAACCCTCAACCCTCAACCCTCAACCCTCAACCCTCAACCCTCAACCCTCAACCCTCAACCCTCAACCCTCAACCCTCAACCCTCAACCCTCAACCCTCAACCCTCAACCCTCAACCCTCAACCCTCAACCCTCAAACCTCAACCCTCAACCCTCAACCCTCAACCCTCAACCCTCAACCCTCAACCCTCAACCCTCAACCCTCAACCCTAAACCCTAAACCCTAAACCCTAAACCCTAAACCCGGTGCCCCTACGGAAGGCACTCCACCATGATCGTGGGACCCACGGGTGGGGGCAAGTCCGTGGTGCTGAACTGCCTGGCAGAGGCCGATTTAGGGTTTAGGGTTTAGGGTTTAGGGTTTAGGGTTTAGGGTTTAGGGTTTAGGGTTTAGGGTAAACCCTAAACCCTAAAATACGCCCTATAAACCCTAAACCCTACCCAGTAAGCCCCTAAACCCCTAAACCCCTAACACCCCTGAAACCCCTAAAGCCCCTTAAGACCCAACAAAGCCCCCAAAACCCCAGGAAAAAACCTAAAGCCCTCAAAAAAAATAAACCTAAAGCCCCTGAAGCCCCTAAAGCCCCTCAAACCCCAAACCTCGAACTCTAAACCCTAAACTCAGACCGCATTTTGTGGGCTGGCTTGGAGGAGGGCGAAGCTGCTGGAGACTTGTGGCATGTCTGTGCATATGTTCAGGCTTCCGAGGGGTGAGGGCCCCAAAAATTTGAGGTTTAGGGTTCAGGGTTTAGGGAGACCCCCAACCCTAGCCCTAAACCCTAAAAACCCTAAGCCTGAAGCCTTAAACTTCCCTAAGCCCTAAGCCCTACGCCCTAAACTCCTAAACCCCTAAACCCCTGAAATCGAAACCTCTGAACCCTAAAGCCCTAAGCCAAGACCTCGAAAGCCTCGAAAAGGAACCCTAAACCCTAAACCCTAAACCCTAAACCCTAAACCCTAAACCCTAAACCCTAAACCCTAAACCCCAAAACCCTAAGCCCTAAACCCTAAAGCCTAAAGCCTTAAGCCTCGAAAAGGCACAGAAGACGGCTCTGGGTCTGCCGACGACGCTGCTGCCCCTGAATCCCAAAGCCATCACCACGGAGGACCGGGGTTTAGGGTTTAGGGTTTAGGGTTGTGAGTTTTGGGTTTTGGGTTTTGGGTTTTGGGTAGGACCGCGAGGGGTTTTGGGGGTTCTGGGATTGTAGGGTTTAGGGTTTAAACCCTGAACCGTGCTCTCCTTGAACCCGAAACCCCAACCCCCAACAAGCTTGGGGCAAGTGAGTTCGAGTCTGAGTGTTTCATCAAGTCTTAATTCCCCCACCCACCTCGCCCCTCCCAACATGAAAAATACTCCCAAGGTACTAGACAATTTTCTGTGACAGAGCTGTGGTCGCGGGCCTCGTTAGGGTTTGGCTTCGCGTCAGTGCAACCTCTGTAAAACACGCCTGCGCGTCTCAGCAAGTTCATGGGTTTGGCCACAGCTCACCTGCAATAACTATTCCCAAGGCACTAGAAATTCATTCAGCTTTTATAGGGTATTTACATTGGGGGTGGTCGGGCGACGTCATCACGAGCAGTTTGTCCTGGTCAGGCTTGTCGGCGGTCTCATGCCTTTTTTTGAAAATATTGAGTACATTGAAGATTTAAGATCTAACTGGAGAGATGGATAGCTGTAGGAAGATTGGTAGGTAGCTGTAACCCCAGTCATGGCCTGGTATTGTCAGATATTCTCAGGCACCGACTACATTGTTTCGACTGCATAAGCCCCTTGATCAAGGTACTCGAAACCCTAGTTGCACCTGCCCTAGAGTAAGGCCCATACTCCCCTTTCTTTAGGGTGTAGGTTCCCTTACAGCCCCTTTAAACCGAAAATGGTGCCCTTGTTGATTCCTCGCTTGCTCTTGGGTCTAGCAAGCCCTAAACTCTGAACCCTCAACCCTAAACCCTCAACCCTACACCCTAAACCCTAAACCCTAAACCCTAAACCCTACACCCTGAACCCTAAACCCTAAACCCTACATCCTACACCCTACACCCTAACCTTCGCATAGGAGCTCTACGGCGTCCTCGACCCCCAAACGCGCGACTGGACAGATGGGTGCGGGGTCCCGGGGGAGGGGGGGGGGCTGGCTTAGCCTAGACTCTGAACTCTCAACTCTAAGCCCTTAGCCTTAAGTCCTAAACCCTAAACCCTAAGCCCTAAACTCCAAACCCTAAACCCTAAACCCTTACAGGGTTTAGGGTTACGACTTAGGGGCTGGGGTTGCTTGGGGCTTAGGGTTTAGGATTTAGAGAGGTTGAGGGCTCAGGATTATCCAGGTTTGCGTTGTTGGAGTATAAACACGCGGGTCCTCAAAGTGTAGTCGCTTCTTCCCTGGTACCCTACATCCCGAAACACAAGCCCCTGAATTTTAAACTCCTGAACCGAGTTCGTAGGTTTGGTTTCAGGAGCGCTTGAAGTCATTTGCTTGAAATGAGGGCTGTTGGCCTGAATTGCGGTTTGCACAAGAACTGGGTTTCCCGAAATCCTAAACCCTACACCCTAGACCGAAACCCTAAACCCTAAACCCTAAACCCTAAACCCTAAACCCTAAACCCTAAACCCTAAACCCTAAACCCTGGTGTTTAGGCGGAGTCCGAGGCTTGAGGAAAGGACACACTGCATCTTGGAAGCGGATTCTGCACTTTCAGGCCCTGTCTGGTATACCTTAAGCAGCCCCGGCTACACCCTAACTAGGGTTTAGGGTTTAGGGTTTCGGGTTCAGGGTTTAGGGTTTAGGGTTTAGGGGTTCTTAAGCCTGAGGTACTAGACATGAAGTAGGATACTTTTCACTTTGTCTCCAGAGCTTTGGCTTCCAGTGAAGAGAACTCTAACCCCAAACGTTAAGCCCTAACCCCTAAGGGTTTAGGGTTTGGGGTTTGGGGTCCTGTGGCTTAGGGTTTTGGTGCAGGGAGTTGGAGATACGAGAGGTGTTCTTTACTTCTGCACGCCATCCTCGTCTCAAGTTGCTACAGGCTTGGTTGGATTGAGGGTTCAGGGTTCAGGGTTCAGGGTTCAGGGTTTAGGGTTTAGGGTTTAGGGTTTCGGGGTTAGGGTTTAGGGTTTAGGGTTCTGGGCCACCCTTGCCAAGCACCGGGGGAGGCTGCTCTCAAAGATCTTCCGCGAGATGAACCAGCCGCATCCGCCAGACAAGCCCCTGAGGCGCTGGGACGTCAGTGCCCGGCAACGGGGTTTAGGGTTTAGGGTTTAGGGTTTAGGGTTTAGGGTTTAGGGTCTTAAGAACCCCAAAAGAATAAAAAGCATATAATCCCTATGTTGCCCTGGAGAAGGAAGAATATGTTTTTTTTGAGGTTCTTAAGCATTTAGCAGGTGCCCGGAGCTGGGTTGCCAGGTAGGCCTTTGGGACCGCTCATGTCTTCTCTTCTACTGGGCCTTTGAAGGTTTAGGGTTTAGGGTTTAGGGTTTAGGGTTTAGGGTTTAGGGTTTAGGGTTTAGGGTTTAGGGTTTAGGGTTTAGGGCTTTTGGGTTTAAGAGGGTCCTATTGAGGAGTATGTTCTTCCGAGGGCTTTTCAAGGCCACCCAAGATTGTCTAGGACCGGGAGCAGGCCCTTGTTCTGCTTTCTTGTTTAGGGATTTTTAGGGTTTAGGGTTTAGGGTTTAGGGTTTAGGGTTTAGGGTTTAGGGTGGGCTGGGTTTCCCTTATAATCCCCTTAAAACCTAGAAGGGTGCCCTTTTTATTCGTAGGTTACTCCGGTCTAGTTGTGCTCTGGGATAATTTTCAACTGTTCCTTCTTTGCTTACAAAGGAGCCGATTCAAAAAATAGTTCCCAAAAGACCTAAAAGGCACAACTCAGGCAAGCTCCATGAACTCAACAACTGAAAGGGTTTCTCCCAGATGGTCCATCTGTAGTACTAGGGTTTAGGGTTTAGGGTTTAGGGTTACCCAAAAACCCTTTGTGGCATGGTTTTTGGGCCTCACTCCAGAGAAGAACCACAAATGGACCCTCTGGGTATGGTCCACATACCCGACTAGGGATTCTAGTCGCAGAGCGTATATGACCCAAGGGTAGATGATCCCTATTTTCGCTGTGGCCGGGGTGGCTGCTTTTCCAGATGTTCACGACCTTCACATAGTTGAACCAACTACCAAGAGGCGATAAGAAATCCAACTAATGTTGTTACAGCGAAACAAAGATCTGTTGTCAGGAGAGCACTTCTCTTGCTGAGTCATGCCATTGACACTAGTATTCGCCACTGCACACTGTTTCACAGCGAAAAATGAAAATAACATGTTCAGGTTCCCAGTTTGGGGTACCCTCACAAACACAGGCTGCCCGTACGACCTTCGCTTGCTGATTACATTGCCGGGCACTAGGGCTTAGGGTGTAGAGATTCTGTTAGTGTGTACATGATTACGTATGCTTCGGGACAGGGTAGGTAACCTTTAACCTTTGTCGTTATCTAGTATCCAAATAGCAATTTTCGGGCAAGGGTATTCAGCCCCTAAGTAGAGGCTTGCTAGAAGCCAGGGAAGCAAGAAAGGTGAGTTGTGTTGCAGGCAATCTCAAACCTCCGAGACTGTGCGGCCAGTCATAAGGAAGCGCTTTTTTAGGGCTTACGTAGGCTTAATAAGCTCTGCGCCAGGAGATACATCCTCTATGACGGCGACGTCGACGCCATCTGGATTGAGAACATGAACTCCGTTATGGACCCTTGTGCGGGTAGGGTTTAGACTTTAGGTTTAGGGTTTAGGGTTTAGGGTTTAGGGTTTAGGGTTTAGGGTTTAGGGTTAGGCTTTGGGGCTTAGGGCTTAGGGCTTAGGGCTAAGGGCTAAGGGCTTAGGGTTTGTTGTGCAGTTTCAAGAGTGCAAGCCCCGAGGGCCCCCAAAAATCATGCAAAACAACCATGGCGTGAGGACGACAACTTTCAAGGGAAGAAAGCAGGGTTTAGGGTTTAGGGTTTAGGGTTTAGGGTTTAGTGTTTAGGGTTTAGGGTTTAGGGTTTAGGGTTTAGGGTTTAGGGTTTAGGGTTTAGGGTTTAGGGTTTAGGGTTTAGGGTTGAGGGAGGGACCTTTATAAGGGACCTTAGGCGTTATTCAGGGGTTGATTTGGGGGCTACTTAGCTCTTGATAAGGGACCTTAGGGGGGTTATTTGGGGGTTATTTGGGCGCCACCTAGGTACATGGGGCCAGTATAAGGGCTGATGGCGTGAGGACGACAACAAGCTGCTGACCTTGACCAACGGAGAGCGTATCAGGCTCGAGCGCCTCGGCAAGATGTGCGCGGGCCTGCCATCCCAAAACCTTCCCAAAGCCCTATAAACCCCTAAGCCCTTTGAACCCTAAGCCTGATAAACCCTAAGCCCTATGAACCCTAAGCCCTATAAACCCTAAGCCCTATAAACCCTAAGCACTATAAACCCCAAGCCCTATAAACCCTACTAAAATCCCTATCTAGGTGCCTCTTCTCAAAGGACTCCTTGAAGTAAAGGTGCCACCCGAAGGAACCTCAACGCAAACTTGAAGCCCCAATCCCCTACTTGAAGGTTCATGGTACTTACTGACCAATTTTAACTGGGCTTATGTCCCTACTTATAATTGGGATAACCCCTATAAGGCCCTTTAGGGGTATTACAAGTAGAGTTATAAGTACAGTTACAATTGGTTAGTAAGTACCATGAACCTTCAAGTAACCCTAGTGCCCTAAATCGAAATCCCTAAGATCCCCAGGCCCCGCGCCCTCAACCCTAAGCCCTAAGCCCTAAGCCCTAAGCCCTAAACCCCAAACCCTAAACCCTAAACCCTAAACCCCAAACCCTAAACCCTAAACCCCTTCCACCCCCTCCCCGGAAATATGTTGCTAAGGAAGCACTGTGCCATGCTCTTCGAGGTCTTCGACCTCCAGCTCGGCTCCCAGTTCTGAACAGCTTAGGGTTGAGGACTTGGTGCCCTAAACCCTAAACCCTAAACCCTAAACCCTAAACCCTAAACCCTAAACCCTAAACCCTAAACCCTAAACCCTAAACCCTAAACCCTAAACCCTAAGCCACCTGCTTGGGGGGATTGAGGGTTTTGGGGAGTTTAAGGGGCTCAGGGTTTGGGAGGTTTGGCGTTTGGGGTTTCTAGAAGCGTTTGGGTCTCATGTTTAGGGATGTGGGGGTTTCCGGGGTGTAGGGCTTGTGAGATCAAGGGGCAGGAATTTGAGTGGCCTTCGCAGGGCAAGCTCGAGCCCGCGGAAGAAAGCGATTTAGGGTTTAGCTGAAAAGTGAAGGTTTAGTGTTCATGATTCGGGGTTTACGAGACCCCCCCCCTCCACCGCCTTGAGTTTGAGAACCCTAAGCCCCAAACCCTAAAGC